TAGACTCCGATGCTTGCTTTGTCCGCAACATCTACCATGCCGCTGCTGATCTGACAACAACGACACCGACATTCTATCCATGACACTCGACGGCGAACTCATAAGCGTAGTCGTAGAGGACGCTCTCGGTACTTTCTCTTCGCGGCGCTCGTTCATTCCGACACTCTCGAGCACACGGACCCAAAGAGATCCAATTCGAAGGCCCAAAACCGTCGCATTGAAGCTGGACGACACTTCGAGATAGGAGGGACAGATGGGAGCTGACTTTTCCAGCTGTGATGGTACACTAATGAACCTGGATCATACCATTTTACTCATAGGGACAAACGTTAGGACGTTGCGGCCTCCGATATCTTCCACGGTGGTCACTACTGTAATAGTTTTAACAACGACGACGTGAGCATAAGTGAAGAGACTTTGACTTTTGGGGCACTCGTTGGAATAAGGTATGTGTCCTTCTTGTCGGCATCGCTCATCGCTTACCAAAGAACAGGGGACACGCATATAGTCAGGTCATAGTGGCATTCCAGTCTTCTGGGGAGGATATGCAGCAATTTAGGTAGAGGGAGTATCGCTGGTAAGCACATCGCACAGGCGCTCCCTCGAATTCCTACCAACTGATACTGGATTCAGGTATTTTATCTACAGGGCTACTCTTACCCGTACAAGTACTATGTAGCATTGCTCTGCTCAACGCGTCAATTTTTCAGTTTTCACTACGTCGTGAAGCAGTAAACTCAGCCCCCCAGCAAAGAACCAGCGCTAAGTGTCGCTTTGCACTCGCGACATCCCTGCCGAAGCCGAATTTCTCTCGTCTCCTGGTGTCAACTTTCCGATCGTATCAATATACGCTCTCTTTCATATCTAGCCTTGATCCTTGCGTTAGATATTCCCTCGAATTCTGATCTGTAACTCTCGTCGTAGTCTTATGATGATTTAGATGCAACTCCGACAAAGACACGTCCGAAGTGGAGAACACTCGGGGTAAGGACAAATTTCTGACATTGCTCGAAAATGCAAATAGCCATTGGTATTCGAAACGGAATTTACATGAATCTATGCTCTAATCAGAAATCATCAGATTGTCGAACCGTTTAGATGGAACGCAGACGTACGATTTACGGTGTCACACTTTTGTCCGATATCAACCGCCTGCAGAAAGAGATGTAATCAGAAGCTGCGTCGACAGAATAATTCTCGACTGGTGCGCATATACACAGTTCCATCCTCTTGCAAACGACGATGCTACCAAAGCATAGACAGCGAGTGTCCGATCGCGTGCCAGTGACCAACACAAAAGAATCTCCGGTAATCATAACATCATTGGTTCGTCTTCCTTCAGTAGATGACGTCGACGCAACGCTTGGCATCTAGGAAAACTGCAGGCGTTCATTTCCGTTGGGTTCGCCCCTATTTCGATCCCGATCCCCAGCTCATCCCCAGCGGTCCTGGTTTAGGGAGGTCCCATAATCGCACGATTGCCGCGAGGCTAGACGACAGTTTTGGCAGAACGGAGGGAGCAGCTGATGATGGCAGGAAGGAAAACACGTCGAGATCAATTTGAGTATAACCTCGTGGATGTCGGGCCGGCCTTCCCGTGCTATAAGTAATCGCATGAAGGACTACGCGTGGTGCACGCACGAAATAGGCGTGTTCATTCTGACTTGGACCATGAGGCTCGCGGAGTAAGATATCAGATATAGCAATATAGAAGGGGAAGTTCCCTTTGTAGGTAGTAGGTACCGCCGGAAGTGAAGCATTCGGAGATAGCAGAGACTTGGCAGAGGCTAAAAAGCGGTAAATGAGAGATTCCAGTGCAACTAAGTAGTGAAAAGGAAGAACACAAAAGATGGAAGTATCACAGGACGAGGTGGATCCACGGATACGGACAGAGTTGGCGTCTAATTTTAAAGGGGTTTGTTGCTGGAAGGAAACTAGAAATGTCCATGTTAAGTATTGCTCCGACACCATCGAAGGCGAGTCAAACGCTTTCCGCTGCTCAGTGACATGCAAGTCTACGCAAGCACAATAACCTCCTCATCATCTGCGCATTGAAGATCTTTGTTGAGGATCCTAATTCATCTGGCACCATTCTGTCCTTTAGACCCGTGAACCTTGTCCTGTACGTTATAAGGCAGGAGGCTGTGGACGATAACGAGAACCGAAGGAATTGAATGCGGGCAATTTTTGGTAAGCGAGATGTAAAGATCTAGCATTCGAGATGGACCATTGTAAATTTATACGATGATTTCCTATACTAGAGGTATGGGCCATCGCTGCGCGTGGCAGGTCCGAGTCCTATGGCTTTTTCTGGTATTTAGGTAGTCGGTTCACATTTTGTATATGAAGACGTCTGTGCTTTCAGTGTCGGTTGGATCCGCCGTCATATCCACCTGGTCATTAGTACCTTCCATGCGAGCTGCCCTACCGGTAACCATACCATCATTGAACCAAATGATCCCGGATGCATCAGATATCATGCAGTGAAATGAGCGTCTCCGTGACCATACACTATTCCTGCAATGGAGTATCGTGCCGTACCTTCTCTAACCGGCAATTTGAAGGAAATGTTGGGGGGTGTAGTCGTATGCGGCAAGTATCGATGGGGAATACACGAACGTGTGATGTTGGACTAGACCGGCCCCACATACCGCGCATTCCGCACTATCGAACATAAGCAGCATTTCTCTGCAGTTGGTCATGTACTCCTGTATCGTTGACCATCATCTTGGCTGTGGAAGTGGGTACCACCACACAGCAATACTGAGTAGAACGCGATTCCTCGTAACCTGCGATACATTTATGCACGATAGACAGAAAAGGGCTGTTCCCCCCTCAGAATTTTCAATACAGTGGATTCTATGCTCACAAACCTGCCGAATATGAAGATATCCGGGTACTCTCATTGCAGCCTCCGATTGAAATAATCTCTCCCCTCCAGGGTATACTCGCCTCTGACGAACTTAGCGAACGAGGTTCCGAGCATCTGCGTCCACACGTTGTCGTCCATCCGGATTATCTCATCCCATGGCTGTCGGTCTGCAGTCCATAAATTGAACAATACGAAACTCGTCGCGTCATGCGCATAGCTGTGATCCGACCATTGGCAGCCAACGGGGGGCGCTGTCGAACCGATGTGGTTTCCGCCTGGCCGAGCGAGAACAACGCGCCGTTTATCTGTCGCTGTCTGTTGGGAATCAAATGTCTCTGACACACATCTTTTGTCATTGACGTGATGACGCGATCCAGGTTCGGTCTTATGCCTGTGGGACGCCAGCTATGCATTAGAAGAGATAAGCTCGCAATTTTTGGACGACGCTTCGTGCAGGACACAAGGCTTGTGTGGAAGTAAGTCCTTTGTCCAACGTAGGTTGAAGGGGATCTGTCAAACGGGAGAACAAGGGTTCAAATAGGGTGAACCATAGCAGTGGAATCCCGAGAGCATCCAAGGAAACGAAGCGGTCGACGTCTCAAACAGATACCTCCGGCCCAAGGGGATACAGATAACGCAAGAAATCGACCCCAATGGAATTCTACGCAGGGTGGGAAACAACACATTTATTCATACGGAAGACAACGTGGTGCAGTACTACAAGAGGGTGACAGAAGACGGGAAAGGACGGTGAGTGATAGGCCGAGGGCACGAACACAAGTGACGTTGAGAACCCATGAACGCCAGATACACGAAAGCGAGGCCGCAAATATTCAGAGTAGGAGACATCGTCGAGGTCCAATGCTCCGTGGTTTTTATCAAGACTAGAAAAACGTCGGCGAGAATGAATTTGATACTACGCGCCCTAGCCATGGTAGACTGTCAACACACGATGGTAAGTGACTACATCTCGTAAGCAGGGAAGACTGAATGACGCTGAACATGCAATGATCCAAACAGAACACAGACAAGGAGAAAAAGAGACACGCAACCAAGACGGGAGAACCGAAGACGACGCCAAGGATGAAGAGAACAATAGGGTTCGGAGACAAAGAGGATGAAGAGGAAAGGGAGTTGAATGAAGGGCAAATGAAACGAGCCAAGAAAGTGAAGGGGGAGGAGGAAGAAATGAGCACCTAATTAAAGGGGAGGCTCGTGTAACGTAGAGATCTTGACGTTAATGTCAAGGTAATGTACCGAGAACATAGCGAGGTACACACAATAAAAGAACTGATGTCAAGAAAACTGATAAACCCTAACACCAAGGGAAAAGTCAGAAAGCGAGCCGAAAATACCGAAGGGAGAGATTCAGAGGGCAATGCACCGAGAGGTACAAATACTAATAGTAAAAGTACAGGCCATAAGAACGCCGACAATCCCGATAGAGCCGAAAAACTGAAGGACGGCAATCCCCGCAATCAATAGAATATTTCCCACGGTGTTTTGAAGGTACATAATAACCGAGATACCTATATACATAGGACTCGGAAAAGTAGGACGCAAACTAGCCTTCATTTTTGTTGTCATAGCAAGAACAATTTGGACTATAAAAGGACATGTTATGCGTACATTTGATTCTTGCCAGGGGGTTCGAACCCGTATTTGACTGACAGGATTCAACGTCGAGGCTGTAGGCGACGTGTCGAAAGCTTCGTAGAATGGAATAGAAGGACACAGCCTGTCTAGGCTATCGGTAGGAATGGTGAAATTTAATAAATAGTCATCCGCATGGCGCAAGTTGACGAGGGAATATCCTTGGAAGCAAAAAGGCAGGTGAACCCGCGGGGCAGGATGGATTTTCAATGGTACTTACTACCTGCTACCTTTAAATTTTGAGATTGATCTTTCAGGAATAGCAGAATAACAGAGAGAACCGGTACAAGGGTAGAGGCAATAGAAAGAAGTAAACATCATACGAGCGAGGCTCGTTAGGCATTCCATAAAGGTAGCCAATATTTAGGACATCTCATCGAGCTCTCGGTGGGTGAGTTAGTTTAGCAACCGGAAGACTCACAAATCTAGGCAACAGAAGAGTCTGGCTTAAAAGGTAAGTACAAAACATCCTAGGTACGCCGAAGGGGAGTCGAATCCCTACCGCTTGCTCGCAGTGGACGTGTGCATAGGATACCATGGAAGGCAAGCATGATAACCGTTTCACCATCGGCGTAGCATGTTCTCTGAGGTGACACAACAGAAAAATATTTGTGTCTTCGAGATGAGCATAGAATTCTCCTCTAAATCCACTGAAAACTGGTCCCTAAATCTAGCCGATTCTCAGCAAAGTCTTCCCCACCAGGTGAAGCCACGACAAGAGATTCATAAACCCTGCTCCTGGGGTTAAGGCATCTATTCTGGACAAACAAATGTTCAAGTCTTGCCCCGAAGCTCAGGACTCGTTCTTGAAGTCGGAAGGTACAGTAGCCTATTTGTCAAGCGTGCAGGGAACCACCTAGAAAACTCACGGCAGCCATGTGCTCATGTCCAAGCTGAGGCCTGGCTAGCGCATGTACACTTAGCGAACAAGCGTCTACCTTCAGTGTGATTTTAACGCTCACCACATTCACTTGAAGAATAGCGCCGTGGCGAGGAATTACTGTTGAAGCCATCTACGATAAGATAAATCCAGAGCAAAGAGAATACAGGTCGGGGCAGCCAAAGCTTACAACGAAATTTAGAATCATATACTCATCAGTGAGGAAGTCATGAAAGCGAATAGCATGGGATACTCCCAGAAGAAACACACACTTAGCTCCTGGTGAGCAGTTTCGACGTGCGTGTGAGAAAAAGAAGAACCAAACTGATACAGGCTGGGCAAAGATGGAAAGGCGGCTGACCAAGAGATATCGATAATTAGCGAAGGATCATGTCGAGAATCGCGACTGAGAAGAATTTCAAGAAAGACGGTCTTCACAGCTGAATCTGAAGCGCTGAAAGGTTCCATGTTTGTTGATATCTAGACGACAATTAGTCTAGCCACGTCTTTCATCATAGATACGGAGGGCATAGCCACGGAGACAGCAACAGAGGGTCTTGATGCGATACGCAGTGACTAGTAGAAGGAAGAATCCTGACCGAAGCATCGCGTCCATCGCGCGCTGGACCTTGTTTGATAAGTTCAAAGCATGGGGCATTACACAAGACAACCATCTCAGCAGAATGTAGGTTAATTGCCAGTGTTATGCGGTGGAACGCTTTCTATTTTGTCACGCAGGTACTACAAGAGATCTTGTCATATGAAAGAAGTAAGGCGGATGGACAAACAGACACGTAAGACCGGGGTGGTGGCAGTTATATCTTCATACGCGAAGCCAGTTTCCTGCCAACGGGTATTAATACGAGCGATCAAAAGCAGTAGATACTTCCTGAAATGAAGGTGTGGTCTGGAGCGGGAGAAGGGTTGGAAAGGCCAGAGGACGAATTGGCCTGCTGTTTTGCAGAGGGGCAGAAGATTCTGTCTTCAGCATAACCACGTGGGACAAGCATTGTCCGTTCCTCCATAAATCATAGATTGGACAAGCGACGCAACTGCTTTATCACAGCCTAGATATGACTCCGACAAATAGACGTTGTCGTATTCGTCACGGTAGGTTACATGAATATATGCCAATATTAGATGTCATCAGGTCGTCGAACCAGTTGGATGGAAAGGCGGACGTACAGTTATAATTTTAGAATTAATCATCAATCGCCTGCGAAGAACAACGATATTAAGAGTCACGCACAGTTGACGAGATGTGTTCTCACCCAACACGCACTTTAGCTTGACGACGGCCGTGCTACAAAAGTGTAGCTGTACTTGACTTGATATGGTGCGTTAACGTAGCCCGGATCTAACCGTAAGCAAGGCTCGATTATGTCTTTGCCACAGGAAAGCAAAAGCAATGCTCACCGGCATCTTTCCAAGTTCAGTCGGCTCTCGTTTCCAAATGCCCGCGTCAGAAACCAATACGCAAAGATCCTGGGCGACGCATCGATGAGTACTAGTATCCGTAGTCAGTACTCGATGAGGTTGAAACGATGCTGGCATATGCGAGCCAGAACCGCGGGTCTTCGTTCAAAGGTTCACCTCCATTGCATTCAAGCCGGTCTTGTGCGTTATCCCCAGCGGTGATCACAGTTTTTGTACCATGAGTGACTTCAATCAGACGCCGACTGTCGCAGAAGATGTATTAGGCGAAGGTGTTGGCGGAACGGATGGGAGGTGAGAGATAAAAGAAACGGCCCATTGTCTGCCGGGACAATGCCGGGATAAAAAGTGCCATACCGCCCGCACGTTTTGCGTTGCTTATTTCAATGTACACTCCGGTTTGATCTTCGCAACAGCAGGATTTTTACACCTCTGTATTCGCTACAACATAGAACGGGAACACGAGCCTAGCTATTTCAATGGGACGACAACGTCAAGGAAGCGACCCAACCGGATGAGAACACAGCTCTGTGGCGATACACATCGATCGGTATGGAGGCACATCTAGACGAATTCGTTGTGAATATCTTGGTTTGAGAGGCATGTTTTGAAGAGCACCGTCTAAACTAGTATCAAGTGAGCTCATGGACGAGATGAATAGAAGAAGACAACTCAATAGTCGAGTCGGGCATAACAACGGAGAGAATACAAGTTGTAGGAAGCGATTGCTTCAAAGAACACGGGATACCATTCGAGCGACGTTTATGCAGTCCTGGTGGAGTCCGAATAACCTACTCGCAGGAACGTTACAAGAGATATCATTGTAATCAAGAACGATAGGTAAAAATGTGTCGTGTTGGGGGTAAAACTGACATCGACCAGCTCGATTCGTTCCCATGTGAAACATGGATTGTGCAAGCGACGGGGAGGTTTCATCACCTAGTTTCACCTCCAACGAACAGACGGCCGTACCCAAGAACTCAGAGTGGAGGTAGGTTATTGTTTGACATTTTTTGATAAGATAGACATCTGTTCGTATTCAGCACGGCAGTTACATCAAATTATGCTATAACCATATGTCAGAACGACATCAAGCCGCTGCGACGGGAGGGGAGACGTACGATTACAATATCAGACTTCGTTGTCAGGTCATGAACACCAGGATACCATCAGGATTCGCACTGAGCTGAAGTGACGCCGTACTCCCAAACTGGTACGCAGATATGCGGTGTTTTCCTCAAAGCCTATTGACGTGGAAATTGAATGTTCATCTCAACAGTTCAGGCTGCACTCGGGACCGTATCTAAGCATGGGTCAGCTACGCCTTTGCCATAAGAAATAAAAGCGAACCGGAAGATCCGACCTCTGCGTGCAGTGTACGCAGTCCATGGGTTCTCTGTGAAGCGACGTCCTATTCGTTGTGCGTTGCTATGAAGGATGAGATGGCCGGATGCTATAAGGAGCATGAGCGAGAGAAGGGGCGGGTAAGAAATGACGTACTCGGTCAAACTATATTCCTGGAAGAGCGCTGTTGTGTAGTTGCCGAGCTGTGAGTGGCAAGAACTGTCGTAATGTATACCGTCGCCCACCAGAGAGGTGGGACGGGATAGATTATTGTAGGGGTTCCATTTCAAGAAGCCATTGTTCCGATAAGTCGAGGATGTTGAAATGATTCCAGCGTGGTCGCGCTGCCAGCGGTCTCCTACGAAATGTTAATTCCATCAGCTCTCTCCGTTCCAAATTCTTGGCTATCACGCACCATTAGACAAAAGTCCCAGTCGTCATTCTTCCTTCCCATTAATTGATGGTGTCACAGTGTGAGCGAGCCATAGCCATAGGTCTTCCGTGTTGTTCTAAGTCTATCACTAGACATGGGTCCAGCAACGGTATAATTGCACGCCAGCTGAAGATACACTAACGAAAGGTAAGATCAGGCGAGATCAATGGATGAATATAATGCCACATACGTGCGTGAAGAAGACCGGATATATGCGCCTTAGGATTGCCCATACTTTGACGAGAAAGTCGGTGGTACTGAAAACGATAGTGGTCAGGCAGCGAAAGTGGTGCTCGACTGGTAGACCACCAGTACAACGGATCGCACTCTGTATGTCACGGTCGTGGGTATGCTTCGCGCATGTCTATATGAGCCGAGTACCGATAACGGCATCAAAGATAAGGCACGCCAGATTTTGAAAGGACCAGTCTGGTCCCCGTCGTTGCGTTAAGAATTTTCAACAACCTCTTAGCTTACAAGCTGAGGGGCCTGCATAGAATATTAGAAGAAAAGGTTTCGCAGAACCGAAGGGTACACACCATGGACTGTCCGACTCAACTCGCTGCGCTGAACGACTAGCGGGTCATCATTCCATTCGGATTTGCCAGTCAGACTGTCGCTGTGATGAGCTAGGCCCCGTCTCGATGCATGGATGGTGGCCAACAATATTTTTGTCAATGTGGAACACTCAATATGCTGGTTCTTCACGTACCATGTGTGCATCCAAGTCTGTCCCAGTCCGAGTCGTCTGTCCAAGATCCTAGCATGTGCCCAGCTGTCTCCTCTGATTCGCGTTGCTTCACCAAGGGAATCCATCAAATCTAGTCCTCGTCTCGAGCGTGGTCATACAACATTATTGGGTACTGCGCGTCCTGGATAAAAATGGACGACAGGAGGGTAGATAGTCTCGAGCTTATCTCAAAGTGCTCAAGGTAAAGGTAAAACATTGCGTGCGTATGCCAAATGTGCATGAATGTCCAGAGAGTTCGATGGATGGAGAAAAGAGTAAATGACCGTTATGATCGATGGGCACCCGGTCCGGTCCAGGGTCCCCGATTTATACCGGATCAACGCACGTGATGAATGCGTCAGAAACGTTCTCGAATATAGCTAAAACTTTACGCAACCCTCACGCTGAAACTTAACCGCTGCTTCTCTCTGTAACAACGATTCCACTCTTATCAACATGTCTACCACCATCTCCTGTGGACCTAGTCACCTCAAGCTAATTTTGAAGCCTGTGAGTAGAGGCTGGATTTGAAGAAACCATTATTTTGCTATTTAAGACGCGTGAGCGAGGGAACGGCAGAGTAAGATGTTACATATTCAGCCGAGCCTGAGATTCTCTGTGAGGAGCGTCCTAGAGATTCTTGCCAGGAGAGAGGAGGTCACTTCCAAGACCATCGGTCGGGCCCAGCCGAAGTCGATGATCATTATGTTGAGATGAAATTTGCCTCTTCGTGTGGCGCGTTTCTTGCTGGCG